GCATCAACTCAAAGACAGTGTTTAGATTTCAAGGAAAAAATAAATTGCAGTAACAGACACCTGAACACAGGAGTTGAGCACCTTTCTGAACACAGCTGTTTCAAAATAACAGATAATGCAATGCCGATGCCCCAGAGAATGGAGACCAAGTCAAGTGCGAAATGAACTAAATAAAAATTTACCGTCAAGCTTACCAGTAATACTAAATTTCTCCTTTACCTGGGACCATTATTTTAACAGAAATATAATTCTGTTTCAAATTCACTGGCAAGTGCAATGGGCTTGAGAAACAGTATCTTCTTATTTGACAAGGCAACACACAGACAAGTAACGCTACCTGGCAAATTTACAATGAACTGAATGCTGCACCTCTTTCTCACTAATCAGTATCTAATCATTACACACGATCACAATGTAATCAAACTTTTTTTAAAATGTATCCAGACAGTATTTAAATGTAGGAAAAATATACCATAAAAATAGAAATGTTTTACTCAAGAAGCTGGAAAAAACACCACAGGAATCTGAAGCAATACCTCCCGTTCCCCTCCGATGTGATAGATGGTTTTTACAGTTTATTCCCTTAACTAAATGACCACTTGATATGCTCAGCTTACCAAAACTGATTTTCTTAATAGCAGATCTTAATAAAAGAATAGTGTGCGGAGGCTTTCAGTCTGGACACTTATTCTCTAACAAAAGTGGGCTGCAGACTCCTCCCAGCACAGAGAGGTCCCAAATCAGGAATTCCTGAACTTTTGTTCATGGGAAGTTTAATTGCAGTGTAGCAGCTGTGTAAAACAGCCCTAAGAACAGCAAGCCTCAGGCTGATGTTGATAGTACAGCCTCCTTTGCCATTAAGTGAATCCTATCAGTCCCCAGCAGTAATATTTCACATCCAGTTGAAGCAAAACAAATGGTTCCCAACACTGAAATGGTTCCCATGAAACATCCGAAAAAGCCTGCGTACATCTAGCAACCAAGCTGTCAAATCCACTGCTGTAACACTGAAAACAACTATAAACTCCACGTGGAGATGAACCTGATGGATCTTCCTTGAGGAAACTTGGTGTCCCTCAGGCCGCTTACACTACTTGTACCATAACTGAGTTGCATCCATTGTGCTTCCAGTTCATAATATGAAACCCTCAAGATCTCCATTAAAAAAAAATTAAACAAAAAAAGATAACGCCATGATTAGCTGGACTTCTTTAAGCATCTCTAGAGATGGCTGGAAGAGCTCCCCTTGGCAGAGGGGACAAGCAATGCCCTGAAGACAGCATCAGCAAAAGCAAAGGAGCATCTAAAAGTCCATGCAATTCTCCTCCACAGCTCTTGTCTCTCTGGATGGCTCCCCCAAAATGGTCTCAGCCATCCCACACTGGAAACATTTCCTCTCCCAGAGAAATTAAGGATGTCAACTGATGCTGGCTGGGCAGCATCATCAAGTTTGTGAACCTTTGCCAGAAGTTCAAACTGTCCATATTTATCAAGATTCAGGTTAAATTGGTGGCAATTCTTTCTCCTGATGAAACAAGAATTTAATTCAGAAACACTGAGGCATTTTCAAATCCCCTAAGGCCACAAGTGATGACATTCCAGGGACAGACAAGCAAGGGAGAAAAGCTAACTGGGGCCCATATGCCTATCCAAGGTGCTACACTTCAGATAAAAGCCTGCTACAGTCTAATCCATACAAAAAACTAATCCAGAGTCTCGGCAAAACCCAGCAGTTACCGAACACCCAGATGCCTGCACGCTGGAAGTCAATCTTACAGAACCTGGGTGGGCCAGCAGCCAACATGCCCTGTTCCCTCCCTAGTAGAGCTTCCCAGTGAGCACAAATACTTGAAGTGTCCTGTCCCCCCACGTAAACTGCAAATCTCCTCTTCAAGGAGACAACAACATATCATCATTACTCAGCCACCCTTTGGCTACAGCAGCTGCCGGAGAAGCACAGAGCTCCAGCCCTAAAGCCCTACC